AGGATGGACTGATTGGCGCTTGCAACTGAAGGCTAGCCAAAAACACAAACTGCAAAACATAAAGCAGATAGTAAGTAGTTGACCTCTTTTACATAGAGTATAGGTTGGCCCTATCCATATTTCATAACACCAAATACCCTCGACATATAGACATATCCAAACAATCTGTTCCACCATCCTAATCCTTAAAATACAATCAAAGAAGAGGAAGAATTGCTAAGGAACAGTAACTGATAAATGACAAATTATACCTTAATTGCAATAATTTGCTCAGGTGTAGGAGCAACTGGTTTAGGTGCTTCATCTTCCTTTGGTTCCTCGGGGGCCGCTGGAACCTCACCAGGTACAAAGGTCTTCACAGATTCCTTTTTAGCCTGTTCTTCAGCTTCTTCTGATGCAAATATTTTACTTGCTTCCAATCGCTCCTATATCAACAAAATTAAATCTGACAGCTCAATATGCAGCTGTTTAAAGTAATTTTCTGGGTGCTTCCGCTCCCACCTCCAACCCCAACGGAGAAAATATAACATTTGGATTGGTTAATCATATATTCATCCCATAGAGCATAAAGCATTTGTATGTAGTATGTTAGAGCATCAGCAAATAAAGAGATGAGGGAGTCTACATATATTGCTGGAAAAAATAGTTGTATGTCTATATAGACAAGAAAAAGAGTGTGTAGTAACATTACATATGTAAAGGTCATGTGTCTAATCCCAGAATATCTCAATAAAAGAACGCTTAAATCATTTGCAATCTCATAAAGCAAACAACTACAAATTAAATCCAAGACGAGTAATAGAGTTTTCTAACCAAATATTAAGTTTTCGACGGGTAATAGAATTTGTACTAGCATCTATTATGCGGAAACTAGCCATGTCCTCTGCTTTAAGATATAATTAAAAAACTTCTTTAAAATGATAAAATTCAGATACTAAGAAGGCCAAATACAAAGACGACACCCTAAAGCTGACACTATTTTTCATTTAGGCACCTTATCTTGGGGTCCGGCCTATTCAAGGAGGGTAACATTTATCTTCTCCTTTTCCAATTAATATTCTAGCAAACAGATTTAGCGGGTCTGTCATTTCTCTATGTACGCAAACTTGGCGCTATCTTATGCAACTATACTGGTTCAGACAGCATGCTGAACACCTCCCACTTAATTAAAGGAGCCTTTTGCAAGGATAAAAAATGAAAATGCATATGGTTTCAAAATTGGGAGCCCATTCTCTGTTTCTCTTTTAAGCTGACTACAAGATACGTAATAAATTGCTATACTTTCTCTAGCATGTTTGAGGAAATTCAGGATGGCACCGTATTTCAAGTCCGAATAACAAGTACAGCAGGAAAATGTTACCTAAAACCACAAGCTGAACTATCAACATATTTGAGGAGTTCCTACATTGTTCAAATGAAGAGACAGAAGGAACCAGCAGACTAACCTTTTGCTTGACTTTCCTGAAATCCAGCAAACGCAAGGACTTCAATTTGTGAATGACATAAAGTCGATAATTTGGTCTCTTTGTGATATTGTTATCAAGCAGACTAAGAAACTTCAGGTTTGGTAGAGACGCAAGCGGATCAATTTCAACCAAATTCGTAAGTCTGTTGCTAGTAAGAATCAAAGTATGCAACTTTGGCAGAAACTCTGCAACATCGCAAAAAACAAAAACAAATCTCTCATCAAATAAAAAGCCTAATAAAATCAACAAATTTATGACACTTAGAATGGAACATAAGCACTTCATTGGCCTAATATCTCACCTCCAATGTTGGGGTTAATACGCGTAATCCTATTGTTGTTCATCAGTAAGGTTCCAAGCCGATTCAGATATGGAAAATTCTCGAGTTTAACAATCTCATTATCAGATAAATCAATTGTGTCGAATTGATCCTGTTAAGAAAACAAATTTCTGAAACTATTCCCAAAAAATAAAAATCTTAAAAGTAAAACAAGAAGCTGACCTCAGTAGCACCCAAGTTCTCAATAACAGGAATCTTATTTCCTGTGCATAAAATAAGTTATAAATTCAACATTAAGCTTTTGCCACAGCGCGTGCTAAAAGTTATGTATTGGAGTTCAAAGCTGAAAAAGAATACTAGGGTTTAAAGAAGAAACCTCGAAGATCTAACTCGCGTTCACGAATGGCATTGAAGAAGTGAGGACTTTTCCAAATCAAGTCCGCCGTTAGCCTCACCATTTTTCTATCACTTCTTCCTTTTTCTTTTGCTTTTGCAGCTCTGGAGCCGAAGCAAGAAAAACCCCTATATTTTCACTGCTCAAGGTTTTTGTAAGCCTGGAGGAGAAACTAGGGTAAGTTACTATAATGCCCTTGCTCGGATTATATTACAGTGCGCACTCGGTTGTATATGTGTCCAAATTGTTCCGCATTACGCTTGATAGGAAATGTGGAGGTCGAGTATTAGGGTTGTAGGTTAGGAGGTAGTGAGTCTTGCCTTACCTCGTGCCATTGTGAGACTAGTCTAGTAGGGTTTTTATCCAAGATAGCTAGTGGCAATATTGTGTCTTACTATTTCGCTTTTCACTGCTTTACTAGCTATCGCTTTTGCTTTGCATCTTTCTTATGTATTTCATGTTAGTTCCTATTTTTTCTATGATTTATGTGGTGATACTAATATTGTCTCCTTTTGTCTTTTTGCTTTCTTGGCCGAGGTTCTTTTCGAAACAGCCTCTCTACTCCTTTGGGGTAGGGGTAAGGTCTGCGTACACACTACCCTCTCCAGACCTCATTAGTGGAATTTTACTGGGTTATTGTTGTTGTTGTTGTTGTCTACCAAAATTATTATTGTAACAGTAAGGTCACTTAATTATATATATAGCTCTCAGAAGATCACTCAACTAGATTTCTCAAACTTTTGATCGCCAAATATCTATTTTACCCTCTAAATTATCAACTTTTATCTTTTTTATTTTTATCTTTTTTAGATTTATAATTTTTTTCTCTTTTTAGTTTATATTATGGACTTACTTTAGAATAAATAAATTTTATTTATAAACTAAAAAATAAAAAAATATTTAAGTATATATAATACTGGAATAATAAAATATTGAGCATAGTAGAAAGTTAATTAAAACAAGTTATTCATGATAATAATTTTGATAGTAACAACAAAAACTCAAAAACTAATTTACACAATTGAGAATAAAAGCAAATAAAAGTTTTAAAATATATATTCCATGTATGTACTGTAGAAAATATTTATTCAAAATAAAGGTACTTTTATAATATATAATATATTTTTAAAAATTATGCTTAATTGACGATATTATATATGCTAGAAAAATAAACTTTTATTTTTATTTTTATTTTTAAATAAAATTTATTTGTTCTATAGGTAAGTCCATAATGTTGATTAAAAAAATATTTAAAAACTAAATAAAAAAAAAAGATAAAAGTTTATAATTTAGAGGACAAAATAGGTATTTGACAATCAAAAGTTTGAGAAACCTGGTTGAGTGACCTTGTGAGTGCTATAGGTGGAGTTAAATGACTTTGCTGTTACAAACGAAAGAAAAATGACTTTACAAGATAATTTCGAATAGTTGAGTAACCATTTAAGTAATGGACTCCATTCTTTGGCGAATACATAAATATATTGTTGTTAATTCTAATTCTCAATTATTAGTACTATAAAATAAAATACATCACTTTCATAATCTCTCTTTCACATTTACAATTTACTGTAAGTGTACTTTTTTTGCCTAACAGACTACCGAAATATAACCTAAAATAAGTTTTATAATTAAACTATTTCACCACAACTGCACAAGTAACATCTTTCATGAAAAATAAATACTAAAGACACCATCATCTCTCTTCTTTTTTTCTGTTTATTTTACGGGTCAGTTGATAGGACTAATGAATTTAAGCTTTGATCTCTTTGATTATTAAAGCAAAATGATGATGAGATAAAGAAACACTGAGGGAGTGAGCGAGCATAAAATGGATCTGGTGAATTTAAGGAGAACAAGATACACAAGTAAATAATAGAGAGGAGGGTAAAATCATGCCTCAAATTAATAATGTAATTTTAAGTCTTTCCAGACAAATGAATTTTGCTAGGTAGAGTTTGAGACCTTACTATCTAAGCCCTGAATCTTGGCCATAGTTTTCTCAGTAGCTAATGAAACGTAAACATTTCTGAGACTATGTACGTCTTAAGAGACCTTAGTGAAATCACTACTAGGCTGGCTATACTACAAAAATAGAAACTAAGGTGGAAAGTAATGACTGCCCAAGGTAAAACTATCTCGGCCAGTACAAGTAGGACAAAGGATGAGCATAGCTGCAGGAGGCCGGTCTGTCATACACTGCTGCATTGCCAAGCCATCCATATAGCTGACCAGTATGACTCCCTATTTGCCCGGGTGTACTATAAACTCTTTCCTGTTGTAGCCATGGATTTGGAACATGTGAGTGCTTCGGTTCTTTGTTGCTGAACTTTCTAGACGACTCAGTTTCATCAATTTTTCTCTTTTGTGCCATCTTCGCACCTCTGGCAATTTTTTTTTTGTTAAGGTTCTCACCTACGGTAATTTCTGTCTCCAAGCTCATTATTTTCTCATTGATTTGCCACCCGGGAAGAAGTTCTGAAGGATCAATATCATGAAGTTCCAAACATTTGATGACAGATCTCAGATCAAACAAGTGCCTCCTTTTTGCTTGATCCTGTATAAAATAACAAAATGTACAGTTAACCTGAGCAGATCAGGAGAGAAATCAGGGAGGGAGGGCTATCAGTGCTGGAAAGAAATTCAAGAATTACCACAGCAGCCAGTGAACCTTGTGATTGTTCCACCATTTTCTTCAATGACTCTTCAGACTCTAGTAAAAATGATGTCAAAAATCTCTTAGGGTTAACTCTGTCCTCAATTCCAAAGGTATAGGCAATATGAGCAGCATCAACTTCCATCTTTTGCTTTGCCATCTCCTCTATTATATCTGCCATAGATTTACATAAAATAGTGTTAAGTAGGTGATAGATTAGCAACTACGACAAGGTCAAATGTATTATTTGAGATAAAGAAAAGGTATCAAACGCTGCAAAATGAATCATATAAAGATATAATCACATAATAAGGTTTCATCTCTGAAATCTTGAACAACGAAAACAAACAAAAATATGAAGGTGAATGTAACCTCCAAGCAGATATGAGGTTGAAAAGAGGTCCGTGACTTTTACAGTTTACATAAATTGGAAAGTGTAAAAATGCAAATCTCAACACCAACCACTGATTTATATTGGGATTAAAGAACTCCAAAATTACAACTGACAAAAGGAACAACACGATTTCTAAAGATCACAACTAAGAAGAGAATCTGGAAATAATAGAGAAATAAGTAACCAGAAGGGGATGAGGAACATAGATGAAAGGAGATGAGAAAACAGAGCCAAACAATTGACAACTTCAACCTCCAAAATGCTCTGAGCCCTTTTGCTACGTTTATAACTAATTTCTCACCCACACTTTTGCTCAACTTCACATGCTCAGCCTATGTCCCACATAAAGTTATTTTGCATTTCATCCGTGGCATCCGTCATGGAATCATACTCAGCTTTAGGGTTGTGCATTCGAATCGGTTTATCGATAAATCGATTCGATTATTTGTTATCGAAATCGAAATCGAAAAAATCGAAACCTTATTGAAACGATAACGATAAGCATATGTACAAATCGATAATCGATAAGTAATTATCGATAAGGGTCAAAATCGAATCGATAAATCGAATGCACACCCCTAGACTGTAGACACTTGTTAAATGAGTAATTACCTATTTGTGTAGATTAATATAACATACAGAATGTATATATATTCCGCTACTATTTTGAAAGCGGCTATACAATATTATTTTCCCTAATCTATACCCTTTCCTTTACCCTAAGTCCCTTACCCTATTATTTCCTCTACCACATTTAAGGAATGATCATATTTAAAGATCAAGGGAATGAAGTTCAAATTAATGGAAAACAGAATTAGCCGTGATGATGTGTTTTGTTTTGTTTTGTTTTTTTATACCGTTGGAGTGTTGGTGGCATACATTTGATCCCTTACTTTAGTTTTGTTGCATGTGCTTGTTGACACAATTTTTATATTATAAATGATGTTCGTCTTATTTTAGCTTCTTTTTGTCCATATTAGTTAGGCGCGTTTATAGCGATATACTTTTCGTGGAATCCCGCGAATTTTCTTATTGGTGTAATCGATAACCGAATCGATAAGCCCCCAAAATCGATAAATCGAAATCGAAAAAATCAAAACCTTATTGAAACGATAACGATAAGCATATGTACAAATCGATAATCGATAAGTAATTATCGATAAGGGTCAAAATCGAATCGATAAATCGAATGCACACCCCTACTCAGCTTGGTACACTTGCTCGTTCGCAAGAATACTCCCATCTCAATAAGAACCTTGTCCTCAAGGTTCAAGGTAGGAAATCCAGACAACAATGAGTTAAATTACAACTTTTGGTTCTCTAGTAGTTACGCTAGTGTGCATAGTGGTGCAAATATCAGTCTTCTGTTTATGAAAAAGTTCATGAGCCAAACTTCCTGTTCTAACAGATCTTCTCAAGATAAGCTAGATAATACTTGATCCTCAGCTTCACTTATTTGTGTGCTGGAAATGTTTCCAAAACTTGTCAGATCATGCAGCATGCCAGCTTTTAGATCATTGTTTGTTCCTGTTTCACAGCCAGCAGCAGCAGTTATTTCACCGTCACCATCAGTTTCAGCTCCATTATGGAAAAGCAGTAAAAATTGGACCAGGGAAGTATTACTCAAATAAGCACAAAACCTAGACCCTCTTCGTAACCAGTAATCCAATACATCCTCCGAAATAGAAGGTCACAAAATCCAGTCATGATTTGATGGAATGATGATGTGGTCATCAGTGTAAAGGAGTAAGTTCGTCATCTTAGAACCCAAGAGCTTCTCCTGCTTGTTGGTGAATCCTCAATAATTATCTCCTGGCCACCCTCGCTAAACTGTATAAGAAAAAGAGAACTCCCAAACGAATTTTTATTTTTTGCAAGCAATGGGCCCTTCATCCTTTTCACATAGTGAACCAGCTAGGAAATGCTCTGTACTTTAGAGATGTAGCAAGTTTCAAGCCACCGGGGTAGGAATGCATTAACTCCCATAATTTGGCAAGCTTTCTCTTCGCTTTCATATTTAGAGCAGTAGCAATTAGCTCAATTGGTTTAGTGGCTTCTAATACTTATCAATAATTGAAGTCCCCTAGCCCATTACCACCATAATTCATATTACTGTTATCGTTGGATCAAACATGGAATAAAGTCAGCAATCCTTAACACGCAAACCGGTTTTAATTTAAAAATCAACAATTAAAGCAAAAAATACATATATACTGAATTTCTTACTTGTTTGTCCTTTTTTGAGTCTCTTCTTTCTGCGTTCGACCAAGATATTCTGTTATACTTTTGCCACTAAATAATGTATGGGAACCTCACCTCAGTACATCGAAGAAATACTAGTTACATAAAACAATCAACTTTATCAACTATGCCTCAATCTCAACCTAGTACGGTACTTGGGTTCAATTATATGAAAATACTTTGCGTCAATTGCGCTCTATTCAGGTTCATTTCATTCCAATACTAAATAATTTGACTACCACAACAAATTAGGATTCCAATACTATGAATTCTCAAAATTATACATTTATCCCTACACCTGCTGTAAGTGCAACAACAAAAACTAAGCCTTAATCTCAATCAATTGGCATCACCCATATGGATCCTCTCATTTTATTATGTTCTAAGCCAAATATGCACTGATTTTGTAAGTTTTTAGGTCCTTTAAGACAACTTCCCTCCATGTGGTTTATGATTGGTAAGTCCAATTTTATCACATTCAGCCATCATATTATTACACCTACCATCCGGGCACATGGAGATCTACTCACCAATTTTGACCTTTCATTTTCTCCTCTATGCGTTACTTGCACCATCTGTTGGATGTGATTTCTAACTTAATCAAATCTTATAGAGTTATATATTCATTTTAACATCCGCATTGTTTCCGTTTTTCATTTTTGTGGATATGTTGGTACTTAAAGGCCCTTTCGTTCTCATATAAAATTGTTGGTCTTACAACCCTTCTGCAGAACTTGTCTTCCACTTTGTTAGACATCCTTTTCTCACATGACACTTCCGTAACACTCTTTCATTTCATTTTTCCTATCTTAATTTTAGGTTTTACATCCATCTACTGACATAAAAGGAAGAAATATACAAAGTAAGAAAATTATGTTGTAGAATAAAGAACTTTGAAGATGAGATCATTAGGTATTTATTTGTTGCTTCTAGGTAATCATGTCCAGTCAGACTAGTTAAATGGACACGAAACAAGCACGTACCAGAGTAGTGAATGATGAAATGCAAACATAGCTTAGTTACAAATTGAATTCATGAAAAAAGGACCTGGAATCTTCGCCATTAGGACATTTGATCTCCTGAGGCTATCAGAACATAAAACTTTGCAAATTCTCCCCTGCCCGAGGAAAATTACCCAAATCAAATCCCTGATATCCTCATTTTTAAATCTTCCTGGAATTCCGAAACACCCAACAAGCATCAACAAACCCCGGGCATCAATTTCCATAGCCTTAAGTATGCCTGCTTCGGCAATTAACCTCTTTCTCCATGCTAAAGCTGCCTGCTCCGCCTCTTGCTTCACCCCTATCTCAATCTCGTCGCTGATTCCCATCAACAAGAAGCACTGCAAAACCAATACAGAAGCCTTCCTTGCCTGGACCATTTGCGAGCCCTTAACAAACGACTTGCCCTTTTGAGTATAAAACTTGCCAACACATTCCAATACAAGCCTTGCTGGATTGCTGGAGAGTCTCAATGCCTTAGGGACTTGCTCAAGCAGTCCTTTTATATCAGAGAGATGCATTACCATGTACCTCCGCAGACCGCGACCATCCATCATTTCGCAGAGGCTCTCCAGCTCTGAACGAGGAGTAGATATCAGCTCTGAACGAGGAGGAAATCTCACGTCTTCCTCTTCTTTATCTTCTTCTTTCACTTCTTTTTCGCAGAGGCTCCCCAGCTCTGAACGAAGAGTGGATATCAGCTCTGAACGAGGAGGGCATCTCACGTCTTCCTCTTCTTTGTCTTCCTCTATCACTTCTTTATCGCAGAGGCTCTCCAGCTCTGAACGAGGAGAGCATCTCAGGTCTCCCTCTTCTTTGTCTTCTTCTATCACTTCTTTATCGCAGAGGCTCCTCAGTTCTGAACGAAGAGGGCATCTCACGTCTTCCTCTTCTTTGTCTTCTACTTTCACTTCTTTATAGCAGAGGCTCTCCAGCTCTGAACAATGAGTGGATATCAGCTCTGAACGAGGAGGGGATCTCACATCTTCCTCTTCCCCCTCTTCTTCTTTGTCTTTTTCTTTTTCGCAGAGGGTTTCCAGCTCTGAACGATGAGTGGACATCAGCTCTGAACGAGGAGAGGATCTCACTTCTTCCTCTTCTTCTTCTTCTTCAGATGGGTCGGATTCCCAAGATGATTCAGGGACTGGGACTGGGGTTGATGTTGTGTCTGCGGCTGGGGCTGGGGCTGGGGCTCGGGCTGAAGAAGCCGCTGCTTGTGGTGATGACGTGGTTAAAGGAGTGGTATTAGTTGTATGTTGGGGTAGCATAGAGTCGATTGAGGTCCGGATGGAATCAACGTGTTGCTGTAGCTCAGTGAGACAGCGATGGACCGCCAAAAGAGCACCGGAGATTTGGCGGAGATTGGCAATTGAGTCATTCTGCAGCGAATCGTTTACTGTTTGTGCTTGGACTTGGGTGGCCAATGGTGGCTGCTGCGACTGAGGCGTGGCAGTTGCGGCGATATCTACCGGTTTACTCATCCTTGGTTTAGAAGTGGAGAACCGGAGAATTGAGAATAGACAAAGTATAAGAATACCCTAATGCGTCGCCATTTCCGATTGTTGATCGCACAATTCATAAATGGACGCTTCTTCCTGCAATCCTCGCCTTCGTCATTTTTGTGAGGTTATTCGCTCCAGTAGCTTGTTTAGTGGTGCTGTTTAAAATGTAACCATTTATTTGCAATGTATTTAAAATATAGTCACAAATATATTTATTTATTTTTCTATACTATAAGTGAGGATAAGCGGGCAGATCATGGCCAATATGTCTGCTTGTCCATTCAAGGATAAAAAAAGCCCAATTTTCAGCCCAACACGTGAAGTCACCGTCTGATTTCTCTTGCCAAACCAGCGCTCCTGCAAATACCTCCTCCTCATACCTCTGCTCTCTTACTCCTCTGCTTTGTCCATTGTTGTTTTCTGCTGGGTATTCTTCTAACTCCTCTTCTCTGTCTATTGTTATTTTGCTGTGTATTCTTTTTCTCATCTTACGCTTCTTGTATTGGTATAATTTATTTCAGTCGTTGAGAATATATTAGGTATTTCTAAATTTTGTTCTCTAGGTGTTTGACAAAATTATTCAATGAATCAGGTTGTATTAGATTTCTTATGCACACTCCTGCTTTTTTCTCTGATTTCATTCTTTGGTTGCATTTTCAGTAAGGGCTTTCGTGTAAGAAAGGGATAAATTAGTATATGACTAATTCAAACACTTTAAAATTGATTTAAACATGAAACTGAAAGGTTCATAAACTACGAAAAGAGAATTATCTTTCATTCTGGATTTTTCAAGGAAACTTCGTTGAAATCTACAAGTTATGTCCATAGAATAGAAGGAAGAATATAATGTTTTGGATATTAGGGAATAGAGCCAGTTTTAGTAAACTTTATTGCATTAAGTGTTTTACTTAGTTTTATAAAGTTTTCTTTCATGTTTTGGACATTGAACATGGTGATCATTTTGCAGCTGATAAATTTTAATTCTTGCTTCTGTCTACTCCGAGTTGATTTTGTCATGAACTAATGTGGTGGTTTATAGAGCTGCTGCAGTTTCAAGAGAGAAGGGAGGGGCATGTCTTCAACTGAAACTGCCGTACAATGGATTAGTTCCTGTGTTGCTGCTTTTACTCCATTGGATAGATAGTTCTTGCACATGCTTGCTCCCTGGTTATCTAAATCTCTTTCATGTCCTCATTTACAACGTTTGGCCCCTATTTCTCTTGTTCATTCTGAATTATATTTCTTTACCCTTGCTCTTTCCATCTTTTTGCAACTAATCGTAATTCCATTCCATTTATATGTGGATTATATATTAGAAGAGTCAATATGTGTGTACCCTATGTGTAAGTGATCACGCCCAACTATGCCTTATAAAAAGGACTAAGCGGTCGCTGCAAATATAATCCGGTTTACAAGTCCGGAGTCGAATCCCACAGAGAACTAAGCTTTAGCTACAACTGTTCATTATCACCAAGAAGACAAGCTTGAACAATTCCTAACCTATAGATATTAAGATTCTTGTGTTTAACTACTTAACTAACAAATTAAAATAGTAAATTAACAACTAACGATACTGAGGGTTAGAGAAAAGATTAAGGAGGTCTAGAGTTATGATTTTCCCTATTGTCGGAATCCTTCCCGCTATGTCTTCTATAATTTCGCCTAAGTATTCTCTCCCGATCATGAGCACTCTTATTGCCGTAAATCTCTCCCGAGTAATTACGAAAATTTACTAGACGCACTCTCCCGAGCTACGCTAGCTGGCTTTTAATACAGCTCACTTCAGATCGCACCCAAGGCTTCGTTATCCCTAATCCCACCTTTAAACCCTCGGTTATTGATCCCTCATATACTCTGGGAGTGGTGTTGTTCAACAACTACCTAAATATGCACTCTCTCCCGAGTTATGCATACTAAATAGGCACAGCTAATTGAGAGCTCTTCAATCAACCAGAATATAAACGTAGTTGAACAAATAGAGAAAAGCTATGGCTCAATTATATAAAAACATAACAAGAATTTATCCTACAAAAGGTTCTATCAAAACTCTAGATAACAAATTAGTTATTCATAATAGTATGTAAAACTGCAATACTAAAAGTCATAACTAACAATGAAAAAAATAGGAAGAGGAAGGAAAAAAACTCGTAGAAGAATTCTCCGCCTTGCTCCCAATGTGTTCTTGCCTCCAAGGGTGTTGTCTAACCCTAAAGTAGTGTCTCTCTGCCTCCTTAGGTCTAATTTGTGTCCAAAATATGTCCCCCTTCTTGTTCTTGGCCGGCCTCCTTTGTTTAATATAGGGTTTAGGACTTAAAATCCCATGTTTTGCACTTTAGTCCCTGAAATTTTCGCTTCCTGCCGCGGTTTTGCCGCGGTCGCGGTGGAACCGCGGCCAAACATGCCCTCTGATTCTTCAGTTGTCCGCGACCATCTTCTACCGCAGTTCTGCCGCGGTCGCGAAAAAACCGCGGTTTTTCACCCTGTTCCGTTTGGAATTTGGAAAAACGTAAAACGTAAAAGTTGTAGCCCATTGAGTTAGCTTTTCAACCATATATTGTGGAGCCCAAATGGAGTTTTGAGCAAAAAGTTATGTCTATTTTACTAGACAGTGCGCAATATGCCTCCTCAAGTCTTCGTTCGTACTTAATTATCAAATTTGATCCCCGAACACGATCCCGGCTTAATTCCTTGAGCTTTTACTCAGACTTCAAAGCTTCAAATCACTTAAATTCATTCCATAACATCTATATAGCTCGGAATCACACCTACAAGGCATAAAACACACAATTAGTGTAAAACACTAGCGATTAAGGTGCAAACTCAATTAAAGTGCAGTAAATTCGAGTGTAATAAGCGACCAAAATATGCAATTATAGCCTATCATCAGTAAGTCAAATGGAACATGCCAAAAAAGAATCATCAAACTCCAATTTGCTTCTGGATTTGAAGAGTATTCAATATTTTTCTTTTCCGTACTTTATTAGTGACAATAAAAAGTAGTACATAGTCATAAAGGGAAAAGACAGGAATTGATTGTGATGAAGAGATTAAATTATTGTGCTAATAGCTCGAATCATGAATTATATTTGCACGGATGTTACATCAACTACTTGGTAGTTTCGTGATACTCTGCTGAAAGAGGTCTCAAAATTTTGAATGACTTTCATGAAAGCTACCTTTTAATATTTCTCTTTTTGCTGTTTGCTATTTTAAATCCGGTTATTTTGTAGGAATAGTTTTTCAAATGAATAGGATGTTTACTGTCTGATAAGTTAACCAAATTTTTCTACAATTATATATACCAAAAGTACAAGTAGTTGATCATTTTAAGTCCTTTCTAGCAGTTAACAAACTATGTAATCGTGCCATATATTCTTGAAAATGCAGAACAGCCAATATAGATGTAGAAGGCAGTGAATAAAAAATTGAAAGGAGTATAACTTGGGTATGAGAATGGACGTTGTGCGCATAACTATTTGAGTACAATAATGTATATTTTTGTAAACTTTACGTGTTGCATAAAAATATTACACAAGTGTAGGAAAGTGAACACTTTGAATGTGTATTTAGTTGCGCATAGCTTTTCGTCTCTCATTCCGTAAGGCAACAGTGAATATTTGCAACAAAATTTAACACTTATTAGCTAACTGACTAATTTAATTTAATTTGTGGTGCGTTGTTAATTTGGAGTGCATAAATGGTGCGTGTTGGTTAGAGCGACTGAATTAACTTTTATTTTTTCCCTCTTTGGTTTTTTAAGTCATGAAATATGAAAGAAAACACAGGAGATTCATGTGCAGCCAGTAAAGTTCTTCAAGCACTGTGAAGTAGAGGTTATTAACTCTCCCTTAATAGCGTCAATAGGACTTTTATTAGGACACGACGCGTCTGTCCAACGATAAGTATGAGTTTTCAGTTTACAACTTTTATTTTACTGTTTCTTTACAAGTCATTTTGAGCTCTTATCTGTTCAAATTCATATCTATATGACCAATTTCATCTTAACTTTACTAAAAATATCTTTTCACTTCTCTCTGGAAGTCTTTGTCCTAACTATTAGGTTTACCCCCACTTTCTATGAATGGTTAGTGCATAATTACCTCTGATTGATGGCAAGTTATTCATTCTTTTATATACACCTCCTGTTAAATCTAAGGAAGGATGTGCTATGTAAAATTTACATGCTTCGGATTAAAAGGAAGATAAAATTTTGCACACATAGTTGGATTGAAACAGGGACATTGAGGGATGAATTCCCTACTCTTTGTAGTTCAACCCTGAACAAAAATGTTTATATTTGGTGACTGTTTTGTCAATCCTGAATGACATCTATAGTTTAAGAAAAACTTTAATGACAGAGAACATGCACCTTTCATACTTTTGCAGCCACTTTGAACTTAGTTCATCTTCTTTATTACCATTGTCTTTTTTTTTTCTTTTTTTGTTTAACATTTTCTCTTCTCCATTCATATGTGCATATGGTAAATTCAACCCATGCATTATGGTCTTGACACCTTAATCAGGACATTTACTATGAAAACAGTCATGGTGATCAAATATACATTGTAGGACAACCTCAATCTTGCTTTGTACAACAACCTCAAAGGTGATTGCGGACAAATAAATCTTTAATAGAATTATTCAACAAAGTGAAAAAGTAATGGAGTTTATAGACCAGTAACTCTGATTATGATATATTTACTGTATAGGGTGTCCAAAGTTGCTACAATCTTCTCCAAAAGCTAGATAGTAACTGGGACAACAAGTGGTCTTAGAAGATAACACGGAGGACAAAAACAACACACCAAAATGCCCTGCTTTGTGTGAAATGTTGTCGAGGCAGCATGTCTTAGCCAAGATAATTGGCAGAGAAGAGGACTTTCTATTTGCAGCAGATGATACCTGTGTGAAAAATGACGAAGGAATCTATCAGCCATTTAAATTTTTTTGGTGTTGACTTCATGATGCCACAATATATCAAATGATTACTTTCAGATTGGCAAGCACAAAGAATTGATAAAGCATTCTTCTATTGTAAAATAAAAATGTATATTTCCAATCCTTCATTAAATTATCACATGTATCAACTGGTACATGACATTACATGTGCATTTACAATGTCAGCTTGGTTGAAAGCATTTATTGTAGTCCGCAAATGTTGTCTATCTACTATAATAAAAGAGGTGATCTGCCTATTGTAAGGTTTCTCGGTGGTGGCCCAAACCCAGGCTGTGACGCTTCCTGTTGAATACATAATATTGACTTGAAGTTCATATACACAGTACAAAAAAAATATTATCTCACTCTCGAGATTGGTATAAGGTACCAAACCACACGAAGGAACATGGCATTTTCCTTGGACAATTTAGGCTCCTAGAGAATTAATGAAGCAGGAGAACATTTGCTGAATACTATTAGAAACAATTGCGCTATTGGGCCCGTGCTTAGCACGGGCAATTCCCGCTAGTAAAATAAAATAAAAGTAACCGAGACACGCTTCTAATTCTTGCTGTGTCCTCAAATTGAACCCTAATTATGTGAATTTTTATTTTTCACGTTGGAGAAAACTCAACAAATAATCCCAAGGTGAACTTCTTAAAGGATGGAGAACGAGGTGGTAGCCCAAAGCATTCATGCAGCTGCATTAGTTAGTTGTACATTGCCCCTAGGAGTGGCAAACGGTCGGGTCGGGTAGGATATGGTTCGGGTCGAAAACGGGTAATGAAAAAATGGACTAATTATCCAACCCGACCCATATTTAATACGAATAAAAAACGGGTTAATCGGCGGATAATATGGTTTACCCATATTATCCATGACTTCTTGTATATGATCACTTTTTGGAGAATTCTTAGTCTCCCTAACTTGAGGAACCCCCAATTTAAGGCTTTATAAATGTAAAAGTTAAGACTCATTGGTTATCCATTGGTTACTCATTGGTTATCCATTTTCTAAATGGATAATATGGTTATTATCCATATTTGACTCGTTTTTAAAAAGTTCATTATCCAACCCACTTTTTAGTGGATAATATGGGTGGTTAACTATTTTCTTTGAAATATTTTGCCACCCCTAATTGCCCCTAATGTGTGGTGGTAATGATTGCCTCCATCTAAGAGACTAAGACCATATCAAATCAGTCGTTACATAAAGTGATATTTTTCGTTATTACCTAATGACGAATTTAACAATACAATACGATAAAATTTAATTAACAATCAAAATATTATATTTAAAGTAACAATACAATACTATACAATAGGTAATGTTTGACTAAAAAGTGTTAAACCTTTTTATAAACTAATTAAATAGGAAGATTTGAGGTAAATCCTAGCCAAAGATAATTCGTCCTAGATCTGAGGTAGAAGACACGAAAAAGCAAGCATAGCAGAACATAAAATGTAATCATAGCAATAATTGGATCCCGAAATGTAAGAAGAGGATGGTGGTTTTCATAACATTGAATAATAGCGAAGAATACATAGATCAAAAGAGTCATCGATCTTTAACAAGGTTGACCCCCACCCATTTGATATGATGAGACTAACGATGTATACTGAGGATCTGAGCTTCCTTGCTCCTTTCTCCTTAGCGAGGAGAAAGAGATGAAGATCTCTCTCCTTCTCTGAAAATATGTCTGTCTGTGTGAGTTTATTTCAGCCCCCTTTCTTCTTCTTCTCACTTAGTTTATATACTAGGTATTCTCATTTACCTAACGGTCATTAGCCATAGTACCTAAGTCATTTGACTGTATTACTGGTTGACCCTCTGAAATGCCGTAACATCCAATTCGCCATTCAAGCATTCTGAATACACGACCTCGGCCGTGGCCGAGGTGCATGTCGTTATAGCGTTGTATGGATACGACTTCGGCCCAAGTGACCTTTTGTCGTTCCTCTTCACGCGAATTCTCGCCTGGTCAGATTTCGATCCATACAGGTAACGATCTATCTTGTTTTGTAAGCGCTGCAACAGTGACAAGCTACTACATGTTACTCAAAATTATATTCTTGTTGTCAACTAATGCAAATACCAACCAGTTCCAGATGATAGATGCAGTAACATAAGAGAAAAGAAAGTCATCTTGTCCTCCTCCATATCTGTAGGAGTATGGCTGTCCAACGGGACGGGATGGGACGAAACCAAATAAACGGGACGGGTAACATTTAGCCGGGACGATAACGAGAAGGCCTAAAACGGGGCAGGATAAACGGAACGAAACGGTTGACTCATCCCATCCCGCTAACAAACACTATGAGACGGGACGGGACGGTTCGCGGGCCTTAACTGGGCCTTTTTATAAAATTTGTTTTTTAATTATTTAAGCATTAAGTTTGGCAACGACTAGTAGAATCCCGTAAGTAGAACTCCACCCGATAATCATAAGCAGCTTTAAGCATTTCGTAAGTAGAATTCCACCTAGTACAAACATCTTTTGGAATTTTTTCTATATGGAAGTTAGCACTAGAACATTATTGAGCAAATTCACGAAGTCTACTCGCTTTATTAGCACGAAAAATATAGCCGCAAGCATGTTGTACTTTACTAAAAGTATCAGAAAATAAATTAATACTATCTTTTACAACCAAATTAAAAATATAGCATGCACATCTAACATGAAAAATTGCTGGATTAATTGGACAAAGTCTAGTTCTTAAGCTAGTTGTTGCGATTGTGTTAGTAGAAGCATTATCTAAGGTGATAGTTAAAACTTTATCAATGAGCCATAAAAATCAACTATTTGTAGAATAGTAATTGCAATATATGCCTTAAATTAAAAGTTTGGGGCAGTTGGTTGTTTTGGGTGGGGTGTGGGGGCCAAATATGGCCGTTTATAGCCGTTGCCCAACGGCTCTATTTAAAAAAAAATTAAATAACAAACAGGACAGACGGAACAGGCAGGACAGGACGGCATAAACGAGACGGAATAAACGCGACGAAATGGGCATCCGATCCCATCCAGTGTACCGTTTAATATGGGATAATTGAGACGGGACAGGATCGGGACGGGACGGGACGAGATGGAACGGGATCGGGACCGGGACCGGGACGGCCCGGCCCGTTGGACAGCCTTATGTAGGACAGTCAGTTCTCTGTTCAGTTACAGTTTCCTCCTGCATCTCATTAACTTTATCATCGCCATTTGTTACCATCTTGTCTGCTTTGGCGTCCTTTAGCAGCAACATCGTAATCACCAATATTTAAATCTGCAGGAAGCTGGCCTGACTTCAAAGAAATGCCTGCGTAATTTTACATATCGTTAGTAAGCTTCTCAAAAACATGTCAGGAAAGAAAGGGAAGATGACCAAGGTCTTCATAAGCGAAAAAATGACAGATACACTAACTCCAGTAAATCAAAACCCATTTGTGTATTAATTGTTCAGCAATACAACACAAGCTTCAAACGCGTGGAGTATAAAAGCAAGGTTTTTATTCCAGACAAATGAAGTTTTACCAGGTAAAGTTTAGACATCACTATGCTAAGCCTAGGAAATTGGCCAATGTATAGTAGCTAATGAACACAAACATTACTGAGACTGTGTCCTAAGAGACCATAGTGAAATAACTTCTAGATTGGCTACTATACTACAAAACGAAAACAAAGGTGGAAAGTAATGAGCAGCCAAGGCAAAACTATCTTGGCCAGTACAAGTAAGGCGAAAGATGAGCAGACGCAGCAGATGAAACAACATCAACTGCTCCTGAGCCGCGGCTCCTGTATAGTTCATTAGCTGTAACAGTATCAGCAACCTGGTAGATATCAGATGCAGAGCTCCGGCCAGCAACATCACCGGGTATTGCATTTGGCAACCCCGCAGAACCCTCCAAGTATGGTGGTGGACTATAAGCATCACTATGTGTGGCATTTGGCAACCCTGCAGAACCTTCCAAGTATGGTAGCGGCCTATAAGCATCACTATGTGTGGCATTTGGCAACCCCCCAGAACCTTCCAAGTATGGTGGTGGCCTATGAGCATCACTGTGTATGGTGTTTGGCAACCCCGTAGAGCCTTCCAAATATGGTGGTGATCTATAAGCATCACTGGGTTGGCTGTTTGGCAAACCCGTAGAGCCTTCCAAGTATGATGATGGCCTATAAGCATAGCTGCAGGAGGCCAGTCCGTCATACACGGCTGCATTCCCACGCCATCCATATAACTGACCAGTATGACTCCCTATTTGCCCAGGTGTACGATCAACTAGAGTCCCTCCATGACCTCCAGCATATGAAGCTCCTTGATGAACAATATCCATGCCTTCTGATATATCTGCTTGAATACCATCGACACTTGCTGATATCCCTGCTCCATCTCGACCCATAGCCACAGTTCCTGCAAGGGAGCCAACAACATTTTCATGCATCGAGCCTGCAACAGGTCCATGTAATACTGATGAGGACACGGTATAACCATGAACATGGCCAGCATTTTGACGTTCTAGCAAGGTGCAGTCACTATCAACATGATTAACAGCTCTTTGCTTCCGTAGCCATGGTGGAATACGTGACTGTTTTGCTTCTTTATTTCTGAACCTTCTCGACGACTCAGTTTCATCACGTTTTCTCTTTTGTGCCATCTTCCCACCTGTCTGCTTAACTAATTCAACAATTTCTTTCTCCAACTTCATTATCTTTTCATTGATTTGCCATCCAGGAAGAAGTTTTGAAGGATCGGTATCATGGCGTTCCAAACATTTGATGACAGATTTCAGAGCAAACAAATGCTTCCTTTTTGCTTCATTCTGCTTAATCATAACAAAATGCTTGGTTAACTTGAGGAGGCCGAGAGAGAAATCAGATAGGGAGGGCTATTAGTGCTGGAATGCAACAACAACAACAACAACAACAAACCCAGTGCAATCCCATAAATGGGGTATGGACTATTAGTGCTGGAATGAAATTCAAGAATTACCACAGCAGCATGTGAACCAAGTGAGTTTTCCTTCATTTTCTTCAATGACTCTTCAGTATCTAGTAAAAATGATGTCAAAAGTCTCTGAGGATTAAATCTGTCCTCAAATCCAAAAGTATAGGCAATATGAACAGCGTCAACTTCCATCTTTTGTTTCAGCATCCCCTCTATTATTTCTGTCACAGATTTACATAATCCAGTGTTAAGCAGACAGATAAATTAGCAACTACCACAAGGTCAAATGTAATATTTGTGATAAAGAAAAGGTATGCAAAACTGAAAAATAAATCATAGTAAGATGCTCTGAAACCACAAACTACGAAAACAAATAATCAGAAGGTGGACTACCGAGCAGATTATTAGGTTGAAAAGGTGTTCTTGACTTGAACTTAAAGTTTCCCTAAAGTGAAAAGTTGCCCCATAGAATGTGAAAAGAAAGAAACGACAGACAATCTCCCGTCCCAGTATTCACTGCTCGTTCCTGTCCATAAGATTTTCTATTTCAATTATTAGCTTAGTTAATTTTTCTCTCCAATAATGACGCCGAGATATTCCCCAAATGCTTTAATTTTTTGTCATTCAATTTCAGACATTAAATATCGCTCCATTCCATATTTGTGTCTTTGAGTCTCAAGTAAGCATGATCCTCCACCCTGGCTAGAGTTCTTTTATTTTATAAGGTAAAATTTTATTGAAACTAAAAGCCACCAGCTATAAGATAGTGCTCGGCTTCCAGAGATTATGCATCATTGTTGTTCCTGCAGGGAGCTAATAAACTCTATCAACTTACCCTCATCATATATATCAGCTAGATTACACCAAGAAGCTAAGTTACGCAAACATCTAAACTTCAACATATGGATAGAGACACCTTTGTTTTCAAATATCTCTGGTTTCTCTCCAAATAGTCCAAAAGAACACAACCTAGAATAGACCTCCAAATCTTTTTCAGCTCCTTGCTGCCTCTGTAGAACAACCAGCTATTTCTGGGATGCCCCATTTGAACCCAAAAATATTGAAAAATAACTGCCAAAGTTGCCCAGTGACTTCACAGTGTATAATCTCCAATCCCTGGCTGATATTATCAACACCAGAACCAGATTATGTTTGCCTCGGCCCATTTTCTCTGTGACCTCTAGTTGTTTTTTGTCAATATTAGTTGGAGATTATATTTCGGTTATTCATTTTATTTTTGTCGCTTGTTTTCGGGATAGTGTTTGCGTAGTGTCACCTAGATTAAAGTTGCTTTGGTGAACGATGGTAAGATAAGGTCTTGTCCTCGGGGGTGTCCTGGCGGGGGAGGGGGTGCCCCGTAAGAGGGCTAAGGGAGCCTCCGGGCTGAGAAAGGGGTCTTGGTACATAGGAACTTTGACCGGAAAGTCTATAGAGTTAGCGAGGATTCTAGAAAAAAGGAAGATTAATATAGCTTGTATACAGGAGACTAGATGGGTAGGAGATAAGGCACAGGATGTGGGCAAGTTAAAACTATGGTATTCTAGGAGGGCGAGGGGCAGGAACGGGGTAGGTATCTTGGTTGATGAGGACCTCCGTGTTCTAGTGGTGGAGGTTAGGAGGGTGAACGACAGGCTGATGACTATTAAGCTAGTTGTTGGAGGATTTATTCTGAACATAATCATTGCGTACGCACCCCAAGCAAGCTTGGACGAGGAAGTCAAATGCGTTTTTGGGAGGATTGGGATGAGATGGTGTGTGGTATCCCGCATACTGAGAAGCTTTTCATAGGACTAGATTTCAACGGCCACATTGGAGCGATGTCTGGGGGTATGATGATGTGCATGGTGGTTTCGGTTTTGGAGATAGGAACGAAGGAGGAACTTCTCTGTTGGACTTTGCTAGAGCGTTTGATTTGGTGATAGCAAACTCGAGTTTCCCGAAGAAGGTGGAGCACTTGGTCACATTTCGAAGTTCGGTGGCCGTGACTCGGATTGATTATCTTCTCTGTAGTAAGTCCGATAGAGGTCTTTGCGCGGATTGCAAAGTTATCCCGAGTGAGAACCTCATGACCCTTCATAGGCTCATGGTCATGGACCTTGAGATCACAAGGAAGAGGGCGGTGTATAGCCAACCTAGGATCAAGTGGGGAGCCTTGACGGAAGCCAAAGTGCAGGAGTTGGGGGTTAAGTTGATGACTAGAGGTCTTGGAGGAGTAGTGGGGACGCAAGTGCTATGTGGACCACGACTGCGAAGTGCATTAGGAAAGCCGCTAGAGAGGTATTAGGGATCTCGAAGAGTTACTCTGGCGGATATAGAGGAGACTGGTGGTGGAATGGAGAGGTGCAAGAAAAAATAGAGATCAAGAAAGCGGCGTATCTGAAGCTAGTAGAAAGTGTAGACGAGGAGGAGAAAAGGGTGAATGAGGAGCGATATAAGTTAGCTAAGAAGGAGTTGAAATTAGCAGTTACGGCGGCCAAGACTGCAGCTTTTGGTCGTTTGTATGAAGAACTCGAGGGCCGAGGTGGGGATAAGAGGTTGTTCAGGTTAGCCAAGGTGAGAGAAAAGAAGGTTTGTGACTTGGATCAAGTGAAGTGTATCAAGGACGAAGAAGGTAGAGTTTTGTTGGATGAGAGGCTTATCTGTCGGAGATAGCATACCTACTTCCATAGTCTCTTAAACGAGGACGGGGACAGGAAGATTGTACTGGGTGATTCGGAACTCTCCGGGAGTCATTGCGACTTTGGGTATTGTAGGCGGATTAGAGTTGAGGAAGTTGAGAGGCTGTGTGTAAGATGAGCAGGGGCAAAGCGACCGGGCCGGATGAAATCTCGGTGGAGTTTTGGAATAGTGCGGGCAATGTGGGCTTGGAGTGGCTCACTAGGCTATTTAATGTCATTTTTAGAAGGAAGAAGATGTCCGAGGAGTGGAGGTGGAGCACGATGGTTCCTTTATACAAGAACAAGGGTGATATCCAAAATTGCAATAACTATCGGGGTATCTAGCTGCTTATCCATACTATGAAAGTCTGGAGAGGGTGGTGGAGCTAAGGGTGAGGAGGGGTGTGTCTATTTCTGAGAACCAATTCGGGTTTATGCCGGGGCGCTCGACTACAGAGGCCATTCACCTTGTTAGGAGTTTGATGGAGCAGTATAGAGAGAGGAAGAGGGACTTTCATATGGTGTTCATCGACTTAGATAAGGTGTACGATAAAGTCCCGAGGGAGGTTTTGTGGAGATGTTTGGAGGCTAGAGGTGTACCTGTTGCCTAAATTAAGGTGATTAAGGACATGTATGATGGAGCGAAGACCCAAGTGAGGAGTGAGGACTATGGGAGGGGGCTCAGATCATTTTCCGGTCATGATGGGGTTGCACCAGGGATCGGCACTCGGCACTTTTTTGTTTCCCCTAGCGATGGACGTTCTGACGTGCCACATCCAAGGGGAGGTGTCGTGGTGCATGTTATTTTGCAGATGATATTGTATTGATTGACGAGACGCGAGGTTAGAGGTGTGGAGGCAAACCCTGGAGTCTAAAGGTTTCAAGCTGAGCAGGACCAAGACAGAATACTTGGAGTGTAAGTTTAGTGGTGAGACACAAGGAGGGGAAGGGGAGGTGAGGCTGGACTCGCAAGTCATCCCTAAGAGAAGAAGGTTTAAGTATCTTGCAGATGATCTTGGGTCTATGGATGAAATGGAGACTCGCTTTTGGTGCTTTGTGTGACAAGAAGGTCCACCAAAACTTAAAGGTAAGTTCTACAGAATGGTGGTCAGGCCGACTATGTTGTATGGGGCTGAGTGTTGGTCTGTGGAAACCACCCATGTCTAGAAGATGAAGGTAGCAGAGATGAGTATGTTGAGATGGATGTGCGGGCACACCAGGTTAGATAGGATTAGGCATGAGGTTATTCGCGACAAGGTAGATGCGGCCCCTATTGAGAACAAGATGCGGGAAGCGAGACTTAGGTGGTTTGAACATGTGAGGAGGAGGAGCACAGATGCCCCGGTGAGGAGGTGTGAGAGGTTGACATTGGAGAGCTTACGGAGAGGTAGAGGTAGGCCGAAGAAGAAGTGGGGAGAGGCGATTAGGCAAGACATCAGCTTTAGCAGTCCGAGGACATGACCCTTAATAGGAAGGTGTGGAAGTCCGGATTAGGGTAGTAGGGTAGGTGGTCTAGATTGTTCATACCGGTAGTATTAGTACGGACTCTCGCATTCTGTTGGTAGTAGGTTTCTTTGACTACCCGTCGTTTTCTTTTATTTTGATCATCTCATTATCGTGTTATTTTTATGCTGCTTTTACATGGCTTTTTGGTGTTGTCCCTCCTTGTCTTTTAATTAATGTGGTGCTTATGTTTTCCTGAGACGAGGGTCTATTGGATACAACCTCTCTACCTTCACAAAGGTAGAGGTAAGGTTTGCGTACACACTACCCACCCAGACCCACATCGTGAGATGATATTGGGTATGTTGTTGTTGTAGATTATGCTTGCCCCAGATCAAATTATCATCCTTATCATCTTCAAATCCCGGCCTGAGATTAACAACACCAGATTATGCTTTGGCCTACAAACCAGTCACTTCCACATAAAAGCACTTATCCGCACTAATAAACAACTTATTCAATTGTGTTAAACAATTTTTTTTTTTTGAAGAAGTAAGGTGTTGTGTTATTCAATATTTGTATACAAACTTCTTTTTTGTTTATCAGAAAAAACTGTATTTACAGACATTTATATTCATCGAATTAGCTCAAGTGGTTGAGTGGCTCCTAGTACTTAAGAAAAAACACAAACTAAGCATAAGCAACAAGAAAATGTATACAAACTTTTAAATTCATTGAAGTTAGCTCAATAAGTTGAGTGGCTTCTAACACTTACCAAAAAACACAAACGAAGCAAATGAAGAAATAACCAGTGAATTAGACCATCCAGGATCATAAAATTGTAAGCATGATCCTTCCAGTCAACTAGCAACTGTGTAATACAGTACTACTATTCCCAATGAACCTTATCACATATATTTGAGTCAACAGTCTTGCATGATTTGTTCATTTATGCACGAGATCTTTTTAAAAAAGTTTTAGAATCCATGCAAGATTAGAAAAGATTTCTCTTTTGGTTGTTTGCTCACATATACATATTTCAGCATTTCCTTAGTTTCAATATAATTACCAATTCTAAATAAATGTTCCGTTTAAGAAGTTCTATGCATGAAATCTTAGCCAGGAAAGATATGAATCAAACGAATGATAGCTATGTTCTTATACAAAAATATAATCATCATCATGGATTATGATTCATTGTGGACCAACTGTAGGAGGACCTTAGAGGATCCGGGAAGCTGTTGTCCTCAAAGACCTACTTATGGTCCAAAAGTACTAGAAGATGGGGATTTTGATGCTCAGACAACTGTTTGTAAATCTCAAACAAAAATTGGCATTTCAAATTGGATAAATGAACATGGTGGGAGCTCTTGGTGTCTCTTTGGGGCATGATGATGGAAAAGGCAAAAGTGCCTTTGAAGCTAGTGAGATGAATAAAAAGGGCAGGACAGGAGAAGGAGAAAAGCAACAACACAAAATTGTGGTAGACACCAGTAAACAGAAGGGAAGGAAAACCTTTTTTTTTTTCTTTTGTTTTGATAAGCACATTTTTCTTCTCCAAAAGAACAGTACCAAGCAAGTGCTGATGGTCTCCAAAAATACACCACATCTGTTCTCCCTCTAAGTATGCAAGGAGCTCAGGAAGTCTTTCATAGAGTCAAAATCATTTACATTCTTTAAGGTAATGCTGAGTTAGGGAAGCTTCATGCACGGCAATCCAACCAAATGTAACCACTTCTAAAGGCACAATGTTTTCCCCTAGATTTTTATCACCACTGTACATTAGGTATTTATTTGTTGCTTCTACGTAATTTTGCTTCAATCAGACCCAATCAAAGGGAACGGAACTAAACTTGTTAACAGCACGCACCACCTCACATGAATAGCAAATGATGAAATGCAAATGTAGCTTAATGACAAATTGGATTCATGAAAAAGGACCTGGAATCTTTGCCACGAGGACATTTGATCTCCGAAGGGCACGATAATACCGCTTGATGCAACTCACCTGGAGCAAATCCCTGATATCCTCATTTCTAAATCGTCCTGGAATCCCAAAACACCCAGTAAGCATCAACAAACCCCGGGCATCAATTTCCTTAGCCTTAAGTACACCTCCTTCAGCAATCAACCTCTTTCTCCATGCTAAAGCTGCCTGCTCCGCCTCTTGCTTCACCCCTTTCTCAATCTCGTCGTTGATTCCCATCAACAAGAAGCATTCCAAAACCAATACAGAAGCCAACCTTGAACGGACCATGTGTGAGCACTTAACAAACACACTGCCCTTCTGAGAATAAAACTTGCCGACACATTCCAATACAAGCCTTGCTGGATTGGGGGAGAGTCTTAATGCCTTAGGGACTTGTTCGAGCAGTCCTTTTATATCTGAGAGATGCATTCCCATGTACCTCCGCAGATCACGACCACTCATCGTTTTGCAGAGGCTTTCCAGCTCAGAACGATGAGTGGATTTCAGCTCTGGACGAGGAGGGGATTTCACTTTTTCTTCCTTTTCTTTTTCTTCTCCTTCGCCTTCTCCTTCTCCTTCTCCTTCTCCTTCTTCTTCTTCTTCTTCTTCTTCTTCTTCTTCTTCTTCTTCTTCTTCTTCTTCAGAGGGATCAGATTCCCAAGATGGTTCTGGCTCTGCGGCTGCGGCTGGTGGCGGTGATGACGTGGGTAAAGGAGTAGTATTAGTCGTAAGTGGGGGAAGCATAGAGTCGATTATGGTTCGAATGGAATCAATGTGTTGATGTAGGTCAGCGAAGCAGCGTTGGAATGCTGAGAGGGAGTCGGTGAGTTTGCGGAGATTGGCAATTGAGTCATCCTGGGAATGTGTTGGTGGTTGCTGAAATTCCGACTGTTTGGTTACATTCTGCAGCGAATCGTTTACTGTTTGTTGTGATTGAGGTGTCGCAGTGGTGGCAGTTGCGGCGGTATCTGCTGGTTTAACCATAGTCGGAGTAGAACTTATGAGAATTGACAATCGACAAGAATCAGAAATTCCTAATGCGTCACCGGTTGTTGATACACAATAGGAAGAGGAACGCCTCTTCCTGCAATCCACGCCTTAGGTTCAAAATAATTAAAATTTAGCACTTTTTATGTAAAGATAAATTTGAACGAAAATACTGTTCAAAATTCATAAAAATACTCCAGTATAATACACTGAAGTATAATATATTCCAGTATATTATACTGAAACATTACGTGTTGTAGCAAAATAGTGGCTATTTTTCAATAACTTTGCTGGCTATTTTCGAATGACCAGTCCGAAAACTTGCTAGCCCGTACTATTTTTACAATTTTCTTTTACTGTGTTTACATGGGCTTCTTTCGGGTACAGCAACTGAGTTATGTGTAAAAATAGCACGGCTAGCCAGTTTTCGGACTGGTCACTGAAAAATAACCAGCGTTTGTAAAGTCATTGAAAAATAGCCACTATTTTGCTACAACACGAAAAGTTCCAGCATAATATACTGGAGATTGGTGCACCTGTGTATGAACTTCCAGCATATTATGCTTGTCCAACACATCGAAAGTTTCAGCATAATATATTGGAGATTGGAGCATCTGTGTATGAACTTCCAACATATTATACTGGAACTCCAGTATATTATGCTGGAAGTCCAGTATATATATTGTACTGGAACTCCAGTATTTGTCCTTGCCGGTAGAGAATTTATATTGGACAAAATTATATAAATTATTTTTTTAATATTTAAAAATTTTAAATCAACTAAATTTTTGTTATTAGATATTTACTTATTTGAACAATGTAGGAAGTTCAAATATCTCTTTATTAAGATTTGATCTTATATAAATTATTTTCTTATTTCAATTATATAACATAATTATAATACTTTTCGTATTAGTTTATGTAATATTTAGTATTTTAAAATCAACTTTTACATAAGAGAAGATATATTCATTATGCAATTTATAGACAATTATTAAATTGTATAAGGAGTTAAAAAGAAATGTTTAAAATATTCCCAAAGTTTCATACGTACGTAAATAGAAAAGTAAGCCAACTAATAATAGAATTCTGATGTAAATAACTCTAGGATTCTATGACTTTTTTAAGGAATTTTAGGAATGTATTATTTACCTTTTTCAGTAAATTGCTTCTTAATTTTTTTTTATATTTGCATGACAATCATACATTTTGTTAGGGAATGTGTTTTGGTGTTGTATTCAAATATTTTTTCCTGCCCTAAGAATTTGATTCTTTTATACCTTCTACGCGATAAGGACTCTGGATTTCTTCCTTGAATCACATCATCATTTATTAGAAATCTTACGTCAGTGAGCCTCCAAACCTTGGATTGGTGTAAGACACTAAGGGCTCGTTCGATATCAGGGATAAGGAATAATTAATCCCGAGACTAAATTTAGAGTTTATCCCTTATTTGGTTGGTAGAAAAGTTCAGTATAATTAATCCCGGATTAGTTATCTTAGTGTTTTTATATCCGCATGAAAAGGTAGAATAACTAATCCCAAGATAATTAGTCCTGAGATAACTTCTTTCCAACGTTTGTTAGGGTGAATAAGAATAGTGTCGAATAAGGTGTATTAGTAGTGCATGTATTAATAATGCATGGGTTGGTAATGCAAACATTAATTATGCGGAGATTATTTCTTATCCACTGTTTGGTGTGGTGTATTAAACATTAAAATCCATTACATAGTTTTTTCTAAAAATTAATTGTTTACAAAAATACCCCCTTATATTCTTTAGCTTTACTTTAAGGACAATTTTATCTTTAACCATGCTAATGCATGCATTAATAACCTTGGTATTGCGCGTGTACGTGAATAATTTACTTTTCTTGTATATATTTTATACTAATTGACGCGAAATACACGTGCAACGCACGTACACTAAAGCTAGTCTTTACATGAAAAGTGACTAAATCGATTACTTTTGAAACTGTGACTATTTTTGAATTTCACCCGAGTTATTTGCATTATATTCTATATTTTTATAATATGCTGAAGAAAACTTAATTTATTAAGTGCAAGAAATTACTGCTTATATACAGAAATTGGCTTCGTCAAAGTAACATTTTCATTATTATTATGAGGACAGACATCCCTGGGCAAAATGAATTCAACATCAAAATTCAAATAGCATCCCTCGGCAATCTCTGAATATTCTCCCTCCCACTAGGACACTAATCCATCATCAGCATTAAATTGAAGTCTGAAAATTTGTCAGCCATTATAATGACTTAAGACCTTCACCATATGATACAAGAATTGGGATTGCTTGACATACATAACTTCTCATCTATTCCCAGCAACTAAGGTCCAAAACAAGCCTTTGTTTCCCAGCAACACAAGGGACTTCCCTCACTCATTGTTAAGAACATATGATGTGACTAGACTCGTATCTCCCTCTTTAGAATCTTGAAGAGTGAATCCAACAATTTATCTACCGTTTCCCTTCTTCCCACTACCTTTGGCTCTTTACCAGGGAAAGCATAACATTCTTTCCAAGGAAACATAAGTTTCTTGAAATTTTCATTCTGCTTTGCTCACATATAACAGGCGTAACACTTAAAAACAACGAAGAGGATCATTTTATTCAATTGAGGACATATAATCCGACAAAGAACTTCTGTTAAGAAATAGATAAACAAATCGTCTCTCCAGCATGGCACATCAGTGAAAGAAAAACAAAGTTATCATTCATGATGAGAAGTGAGAACTAAACTCTCTTCCAAAACTTCTCATCCAACATCAACGATATTCAAAATTAGGAAGTGTCCAAAGGACCAAATACAAAGTCTGTCAAGTAAATTGTGTATCCAAGAAGCTTGTGTATGTGCTATCGTTTAGAAAATTGTCAATTGCAATTTGTACAAAGACACCGCAAGTACAACACATGCAGCCCAGTCAGAAACAAGTCATACTTCCTATATGTGGAATTCGCACCAGCACTACCAATTAATAGCCCTTATTTCCCCGAATTCGAGCTCTCATGTCCACCTGAAAGATAAATTTATTGGTCAGACAGTGTGTTGACAAGCACAAGATAGGTCAATATCACAGTGCATATATCAGATCCAGCTGCCAGGAAGCATGTAATGTTATTTAATGTTATATGGGAATCAGCGCATTAGTAACCGTGGTTCATATGGCACATCAGATCCTCCAGCATAACAAAGTTATACTCCTATCAGTTCTGTTTTTGGCAAGTCCACACAAAAATGCTATGTATGTCATTGCAATTGTGCATTACATCATAAGAACAACTTCTGGAATTGTCATTGTAAGACTAAAGTACTTGAGCACCTACCTCAACAGTGAAATATGCACACCTAAACAAATGCATGATATACCAAGCCCAGATAAACCATTATAGTGTTCACATCACAACATTATCCAAAATCAGAAGTCATAAATTAATGCACAAACATGGAAAACATTACTCCTAGATTGTCCACAAAATAATTGGTACCAAGAAGATGATTCGAGTCGGTCACGTTATATCTCGAATAGATACTGCACCAAACAACCTGCCAGAACAAGCAGATTGCAGGTTCATTTCCTGGTTTGGGAATAAGTCCTCAACAACTTGAATATCAACACAAAAGTTTTCCTCATACAGTGCCAAACTCCCAACCATTACAGGATCATAGAATACAAACAATAAAAGTTTATCTTCGGCCGAATGATTTTAGAGTAAGTATCCAAAGACAGAAAATCAAAATGCAAATTGTAAATTTTCATCACGAGTTTTTAGAATATGTAAGGTACCAACACATTATTTTAACTAAGAATTTTCCCTTTCAGAGATCACACTATATCCAACTGCAAACTGTCAAATTACCAAATGATGAGTAAATGTAAAACAATCAAAGATAAACAGAAACTTAATATTCACTTCTTAGGTACACGAGTCTCTACAACAACACCAACATACCCAGTTAAATTCCACTAGTGGGGTCTGGGGAGAGTAGATTGTACGTAGACCTTACCCCTACCCCGAAAAGGGTAGAGAGGCTGTTTCCGGGAGACTCTCGGCTCAATCAAGAGAGACAATAATATCAGAAAAGAAACAAAAGAAAAGGCATGTAACAACAAAAAATGCCAGAAAGAAAATAACACAACGAATAAGTGAAAGGAGTACATGAGTCTCTACAAATAGAGATAAAATTACATAGACTTAATGTTGATAGCTTCTCCAAACTTCTAAATGCACGAGCATAAACAAAAAGAAAGGTCATACCAAAAGCAACAAGATGCCAAGCTTATAGAATAAAAACATTTTACAAGATGGCAATATCCTAACAATATTGACATACATGTATCTCATATCATCTTTAAAGTAGAACTATAGCTCATTAACATCACAACAAAGTTGAATAGGAAGACTTCCTTCTCCTTCTAGTCATTCTTTCTACATGTGTGGCACATTGTTATTGTTCTCACATTTTAGCTATTCTCAACTCAACCATGCAAGGCAAAGTTAGAAACACATAATTGAGTTTTTCCATATTCATCTCATTAAAAAATGCATCAACTGCATTTACTGATTCATCAATGGTTGAAGGAGTCATTGATATCGAAGGGATTGAATAGCTCTAAAAAATCCAAAATCTAAAACATTTAGATCTGAATATTGGGAAGTTGAACGCATACCTGAAAATAAAATTCACCTTGTCACGCCTTCATAAAAAGTCACCTTGTTATGCAGCTTCATTATATTTCAAACCATTGACATTAATGTGAGGTCTAACGTTATCTAGTTGAATAAAAATAAGAACATTCGAATATGAAATTGGTCATCTTAACCTAATCATTTATCATTGTTAGAACATTTTGCAATTAAGCAAGGCCTAATGGTATCTTTAGTCACGGGAAAAATAGGTTTTATTTCCGAACTATTTGCAACTCAATTTTACTATTCTGTTTAGCTGTCTCCTTGATCACAAGAGAAATTCATGTTTCTACTGAAAACAACTCAACTCCATTCTGATAAAAATTAGGGCTTGCAATAGCAGCAATGTAAAGAAGTTCTTACTTTTGCGTGATCTATACGAGTCAAACTTTTGTT